CGGATGGGGAAGAGAGTGCCGATGGGGATGGGGATGGAGATGTGGATGAGGGTGCGGAGGCGGATCGGGATGGGGATGCGGAGACGGGTGGAGATCGGGGTGTAGAGACGCGTAAGGATGGGGATGGGGGTGGGGGTGGGGGTGTGGCGATGGGTGTGGCGCCGCGCGTCCGTTGCATGCAGCGAACCAACCGCCAAAGGAGATACATAAGTATGCCGGCAATGATTAGAAGACTTAATATAATGAATGCCGCTTTTATATAAAAGCGGGCGGGGATTGGGTAATGTGGGTTGGGGAGATTGATACTGTCATCCATGAAGAGAGAGGAAGTGGAGATGGAGTAAGAGAGGAAGGGTCACTGTAGGTGTAGGTGTTTGAATGATTTCGGGGAGAGAGATTGGTGTCCTTGGGTGCGTGAGAACTGGACTGGCGGAACCCTATATATATGAAATGGGAGGAAGGGTCACTGGCAGAATGATTTCAGGGAGAGAGAATGGTGTCCACGCCGCCAGGGGGATGTAGAACAGTGGCGTGTTGTAGAAGGTTTCTGGTTCTCCACGGTCAATGAGGCCAGATCCGGGTAGGGAGAGAGAGAGAGGATCAGAGTTGTGAGAGAGAGAGAGATGATCGGAGCTGCAGCTGCCTGAGTGAGGAAGAAGACGGTGACGGAGGGAGGAGGGGGTATTTATTAGGGAATCTGATAGGAGTGGGGGTATTTAATGAGGAAGAGGATAGAAAGTGGGGGTATTATCACTATAGTTTAAGCATTGTGATGGAAACACGGTTCAAATTTCAAAAGACCTATCTCTCCTTTCCAAATTAAATTGTGATTATTATTTACAATGTTAAATTTTATTTTCTTCTATTTTTGTTAGTCATTGGATAAAATAACATAGCATATCACTACTAGTTTTTTAAATTTTTTTATTTAGTTTTTGAATGTCTAATTTTTATTTTTTAATTCAAATCATTTTATATGAAAAGAATATGAATGATCAACTTATGACAATTATGTGTTTTATTGAACATTGTGTTGCAATTGAAAATGAATTTGATTGAATTATGTTTTAATGAATATTGTGTTGTGATTGACAATGAATTAAGTAATAATTTGTGTTTCGTAAAGAATTTGAATAATACTGTGATGTTTCAATGCTGTTGTTTATATGTTGTGTTGTTGAAATGTTATTGTATTATTGGGTTGCTGAAATCTGGTGCAGAACAGGTTGCCGATATCTGGTTTATCTGCGACGGATTTATTCCGTCGCAAATTCCGTCGCAGATTACAAAATAAAAAAAAATTTGCTGTTGTCGCAAATTTCGTCGCAGAAGTACAAAATAAAAAAACATTATATGTTGTCGCAAATTCCGTCGCACATTTGTGACGGACGAGGTTTTCTGTCGCAGATTTTTAAAGTTGGCTGCCCGTCGCTAACATTGTCGCAGACCTGCGACAGATTAACATTTCTGTCGCAAATATTTAAAATGCGACAATTAATTTGCGACGGAATTTTTCCGTCGCCGACCCGTCGCAATTCAGAAGACTGCGACCAAATCAAAGGGTTTGCGACATATATTTTCCGTCGCAAATGCCGCAAAATTTTGTAGAGATTTACTATGACTTAATATAAAATAAACAAAACGAATAACTAAAAAGTTAATTTTTAATATACTTAAACAACATATACATTTAATACTATCCGAGCAACTCGGAAATCGTCCATAGGTGAGCCTCTGATAAATTTGATAAGAAGGAAGAAGAAGATGATTTCATTGTTGTGAAGTTTTCCCCAACTGAACATTACAAAAGGGGTGCAAGCCCCGTAAATAGCCAAAGTCCCTTTCAACAGAAAGCCAGCTGGCACCAAACTGTAACCGAAAAATAAAAACCAAAATAACAAAACTAATCCAAGCTAATTACTAGTCTTCTCAGCCTCTAGAGGTCAAATTCGTCAGTCGAACCCACGCCGTCACTTCACTGGGCCGGGACTTCATTGTGGTCATCCACAATGTCCTGTAACAAGGAAGCACTGGCAGAGTAGTACGATGACACAGAAAGGAAGTCTCCGCGGCGGCGGCTTGGACTTCCAATCTCAAAATGAGAACTGCCGAAGTCGCTAGCGGCGGAGTGGGATGATGCAGAAAGGGAGTCTTCGCGGCGGCGGCTTGGACTTCCAATCTCGAAATGAGATTTGCCGCGGTCGTAAGCAGCGGTTCGGAGATTCATCTCGAGCTGGGCCTCTGTAGGAAACAGAGGATAGCGGCAGACCGGGCAGGTCTCGTTCCCATCGAGCCACCGGTCAATACAAGCCGCGTGGAATGCATGTAGGCACCACGAAAGGCGTCGTAGCCACTCGTGCGCCTCAAACTCCGTGAGGCATATGGGGCACTCTACATTGGTCAGGCACCTCGTGACTGAACCAAATGTGAAGCTCGAGAGCTCCACTCTGTCAAAGGCAGATGGGTAAGAGAGTGCCGATGGGGATGTGGATGGGGATAAGGATGGGGATGGGAATGGGGATGGGGAT